CAAAATTTATACTTGGTTGCAACTATAATTTTAAATGGGAACCATAGTTTTTAATTTGGACTCCAAAATAGACCATTTGTATTTGAAAACTCAAGCACAACTGAAGCTTTTATAATAAAACTTTGAGAGTTTCTTACCTGTAGCAACACATAGGATAAATTTTAAATAGCATGGAATATGAAACTGCAAATTCTTTCATAGTATTTTTAATACTCCTTACCCTCAGAAGCATCCATCACTCAAAGATGATCCAGGAAGCTTGAGGTTATAATTAGAAGAAATTCCTCAAATTATTTGTGCTATGGTTGGAACATGCAGAAATGCAGCTGCAATGAAAAGAATATGGTTAGGTATATTTCACAATCCAATTTTTTAAGTTTCCCTGGAGAGCTTCAATTTAGCCAGAAGACAAAAATCAGAGCTAAATTAAATACAGTGCTGCCTTCCCAACCAAGGCAAAACAAATGTAAATTGCCTTTTTAGGGATACAAAGAGAAAGAAGCACACCTGTGATATTTTCTCAAAATGGAAAAGATAGAAATTGGGCACTTTCCAAGAGGCCTCTTTTTCATGAAATTCTTGGCCCTCTGGAGTTAGCAGAGATTCTCAAGGATAGAAATTTCTTTTCGTTACCTTAGGTAGAATAACTCAGTGACTGTTTTCTTGGAGCACTTTTAGTTTTATTTCAGGTCTGTCCATTAATGCTTTTGTTGCCAAACACCCAGAAGTCCATTTTATTAAATGAAACCAGCAGTACAGGACTAGGCAATTAAAGGTAAGGCTACTTTGTAAAACTTACCAAAATACAAGGTGGTCAAGAAGGTAGTCAGTGGTAGAACACTAGGGGCCAAGGTTCTCTCAGCACCTATTTCTTTGGGATAGTGTGTCAATATCTTCCTCATGCTCAAGTTACAACAAAGCAAAAAGTTACTGTTCTAAGAACTAGGCAAGGCCTCTGTATGAACACACTTTGATTTAGTGGATTCCTGGGGATTTTGCTGCCATATCTCAGCTGGTAACTTTTTCTTTCTCTTGTGATATTGGCCAAGCCTTGGGGTTCCTACAGATGGGAATCAACCAGGATCAAAATGCTTTTATGTATTGCTCCTAATTGAGATTGTGGAAGGTCTTAGGTGAAACAGATATGAAGGCTAGGCTTCATATCTGTGGGGGTGTGGGGGTGGAGAACTGTGGGGAGAGAGGACCCTCTGTGGGGCCAGTTTCTTACTCAGGGGCAATCCCTGAAGCTATCTTAAAAGAAAAACTTGAAAAAAAAGTATCTTCTGTATCTCCACTGTGTTGCAATATCGTGAAACTAATATGTGCATGTCAACTATGCTTCACTTAAAAATGTTTTAAAAACAAAACTCCAAAAAATACATTCAATAATATCTTCCCTTTGGTAGCATAAGAAGCATAAAGGAATTTGTTACAGCATCCAAAGAAAACTAAGATACCTACTAGACATTATATATTTTACCTAACAATAAGTTCCAAAATAACACTGCAATATTAATAAGAGAATACAATTACTGAATAAAGTTAAAAATTTTCTAATAATTCCTTTTGCTTTTAGACTACAGTCCACTAATGATCCTCAAGTAAATTTGTTCACCAAATCGCTCCCTCTCTGTGGCAGTGTCCGTCCTTATCTGATGAGGTTTCAGTTTGCTTTGTTTCTTGGCATTATAGGAGTGTGATTAGTTCAAAGCTCTTACAAGGTGGCTTTCTTTTATGGCTGTCTGCTGCAGCCAGGACAGAGAAGGGTCTACTGTACTTTGAGATGATGTAAAACACGCAAAACAACTCTGTCTCCAGAATCTGCAAAACAATCTTATTTCATAATTATGTGATCTATGTACATTTTTTAATGACGAACTACACAGTTATAAATACATGATTCATATGCATTCTCTCTGGCTGAATAAGCTAATTCTTCACCTATTATTTAATTTCTAGGAGTAGTAAAATCAATGTACTTTTATATAGTCATTATTTTAAAAAATTTGCTAAGTACTATCCTGATCTTCCAAGCTTTTTAAATTTAATTTGCTTTTCCCAAGCCATATTACAAATCTTGTAATATTAAGATCCATCCCTATACCACCTTAATGTTATGTATTATCATACCACGGTTTACAGGTCTAAAAGGATTCCCCCAATTAAAGATTAAGAGTACACCTGTTGTGATGAGCACTGAAAAATGGATAGAATTTTTTCTTCTTTTTTTAATTTTTTTATCAGAGAGAGAACTAGAGCACAAGCAGGGGGAGTGGTAGGCAGAGGGAGAAGCAGGCTCCCTGCTGAGCAGGGAGCCCAATGTGGGACTCAATCCCAGGACCCTGAGATCATGACCTGATTCAAAGGCAGACGCTTAACCAACTGAGCCACCCAGGCATCCCGAACAGAATTGTTGAATCACTATATTGTATGCCTGAAACCAATATAACACTGTATGTTAATTATACTGGAATTAAAATTTTAAAAAATATGTGGATACAGAAACATCTTAAACAATAAAAGAATTACACAAACGTAAAATAATTTGACCAATATCATGAAAATACAAAACATGACAAACAATAAAATAAAATAAAGGATTCCCCCAATTAGCATTAGCTTGACCCTAGTTACTAGTTTTTCACTTTCTTAGATTATACCTGGTATCTTTGTCTTTCATATGATTACAAAGAATACATGTAAATTCAGGGCACCTGGGTGGCTCAGTCGTTAAGCGTCTGCTTTCGGCTCAGGTCATGATCCCAGGGTCCTAGGATCGAGCCCTGCGTCGGGCTCCCCGCTCAGTGGGAGGCCTGCTTCTCCCTCTCCCACTCCCCCTGCTTGTGTTCCCTCTCTCGCTGTGTCTCTATCAAATAAATAAATAAAATCTTAAAAAAAAAAAAGAATACATGTAAATTCAGTCTTTAGGTTTTGCTTGAAATGTTCATGGATGAAAATTCGTATGTATGAATACATTAAAAACATATATGAATATAAATTCTTATTTTACTTGTTGAAACACAGTACAGAAATCTAAAATTTCAGAAATATCTATGGTTTTATTACTTCACAAATTCAAATGTCCCAAAGCTAATATTGATTCCACGAAATTCGGTATTTAAAAATATAAGGAAAACAATAATTAGAAAAATATCCATTATTACAACTTTAAACTATATTCATAAGGTTCAAATGGAAAACTTTCTATGGATTCCTATAATTTCCAGATAATCTGTGTCCTGGTAGAATCAGCTCATAAAAGAAGAGAGCATCAATAATGATGGCCTATTGTAACTAGTCTCATGTTTTATGTCACATTTGCATATTTAGCTTTAAGACAGGAACCTAAATTCTTGCATGGATTCATAGGTCATTACCTGAAATCTTAAATTTTGCATTCTGTGGTAACTTCACTTATCACCCAGGGGAAAAACAACATTCTTTGTTTCTAAGACCTGAGTTCCTACTGCTTTTGGAGCTTAATGTGGTATTGAAGCAATTTAAAAGGTGATTCTCAAAAATAGAGAGATAGATAGATAGATAGATAGATAGATAGATAAATATTCCTGGACTCCTCAGAGGAGGAACCTATGAAGACATGTGGATGAATTAAGCACAGGTGGAAAATAGAGAAATTATGGAGGCTCATTTGGGCCCTCATTTTTTCCACTTTTCCCCAGAAACAATTTCCCCACTATGGTCTAGGAGAACTGGCTGTACCTCTTCTGAGACGTGAAGGTTTGGTTTTTAGTTCTTGAGTACTTCTAAAGGTACCTTAGCAAGGCTTGCTCTCCAAGAGGTTTGGAAACCTCTCCTGCGTTATCTGTGAAGGTGGCAATCAAGGATTTTGCTTTTACATCTTCCCACCTATGACATCTGGCCCAGATAGGACTCTTCAGGTTTTCTCTTACAATGCTTCCAGGGAAAACTTGGGTTGTTTGGTTATGCCAGCTCCATCTCCTAACATATGTTTGAGCACTAGGATCATGGTAGAATATAAATTGATCCAGGAGGGAGTTTCCTTTCCTAACTCTTGGGCTGAGACACACTGATAAAAAAGTGAATCTGGCCTAGAGACAAAAATAAGGCCCACCTGGAGGAAAGAAAAAAAAAATACTCCCTTTCAAGAGAGGAGGAAGGGTGTCACAGACAAATAGACTATGGTCTCCATCTGAAAAAAAACCAAAAAAGATTTCCTGAACTCTGTAGGGTCCAAGACAGAGCTCTGCCAGTCCCTCAGCAGCAGAGGAGGGAGAAGCATCCAGCAGGAAGTTGTCAAGGGATCTTTACAGTGTGTGTCCTCTTGTTCCCATCCAGTACCCACCTCCCCTAATCTTAGGCTCTGGAAGTGCTCCTGACTATGACAAACTGCTGGGGAAATAAGATCAAAGACCACAGACTTGGGATTTCTGAACCATGACTTGCTATTTACTAAAAAATCTGCCTGGAGAAAGAAATGAGAGGAATATTTACCAGCTTGAAGTCAGGTGACTAATTCACCTCAGTTCATAATGTATCAGTTTTCTTTATTCATGAGTATTTTCTAAGATCCCAGCCACCTTCAGCTCTACCAGAAATTATTTTGAGATATGGGAGGAAGGACCTTGTATTTTCTTTTTTTTTTTTTTTTAAAGATTTTATTTATTTATTTGAGAGAGAGAGAGAGAGCACATGAGAGGGGGGGAGGGTCAGAGGGAGAAGCAGACTCCCTGCTGAGCAGGGAGCCCGATGCGGGACTCGATCCCGGGACTCCAGGATCATGACCTGAGCTGAAGGCAGTCGCTTAACCAACTGAGCCACCCAGGCGCCCGGACCTTGTATTTTCAAATAAATTTACATACATTTTCAAAGCAATTCAAAATGTCTGAAAACAGGAAAGCAATAGGAAACAAGGTAAACTATCCCTTGAAAAAAGATGTTAAATGTACATTTAGAAATCGAGGGGAATCCAAGTAAACAAGGTAAAGCATGCTCATGGAAAGAAGATTCACCTACTGGAGAAGGGAGTCACAGCATTCCTTTATTTCTTACTTTCAGAAAGTGACAAACTTCTTTGAGTAAAATGGGGGGAAGAGGGCTGATTTCCTTCATCCCATTATGAGAAAAATACATGAAGCAGTACCCAATGATACACGTGGCGAGACAACTTGTTCGAGATAGCCAAAATTTTTCTCAAATTCTCTTTCCTCTTTTTGTGTAATACAACCAGCACACACATTTCTGCCTTTCCTTCCCTGATTGTACATGTTCCGAAAGGTCAATTCTTGTTATCTGGGGTAGTTATATTCTATAAAATTACCACAAACTCTGAATTAGTCAACACTAAACCATTGCTCCTAGAGAATTTACAGGGGTACATTTCTGTGAGCCTCTTGTCACATTTTTGTCAACCCATCAATACAATATATTGTTGATTCATTAATGGTAAACTCATGGCCAACAGCATCGTAATTCATGCCTGAATGAAGTTTATTTAGGTATTACTTTCTCCTTAAAGAACACCACAGGATTCTTGTGCCTAGGTAAACTAGACAGCACTTCAGCATGACAACACTTGGAGGCCATTTTAAATAGCAAAATCACCAACAAAAAGCCCTTGAATGAGAAAAAACATGGCACTAGACCATGAAAAGGATACTTGGTTATTATACAGTCTGACAGCTGAAACAAGCCACAGTGTTGCCCTGTTTGACCTATCTGGGAACACATACCTCGAATGACTCAAATTTTTTGGCACTCCATGTTTGTCCAAGAATGACATCAAAAGTCCTGTACTGATTTGGGGGTTACAAATAAATTTTAGCATGTAGGCAAATTGGCAAATACAAAGTCTGAGAATAATGAGGATTTACTGTATGGAGGCTTCAATTCCTTCACTGTGATTAGAAAGATAGTTACCTCAATAGGGCAGTCACGGACCAGGACTGGGAAGTCAGGAAAAGAGAACCAGGTCCCAACAGCTACCTTTAAATACCCGGTGAGGTGACAACCAAAATGGCTAAGATTTAATAGACATTATTCAAAAAATGACTAATTCTGCTTTAGTTTTTTCTTTATTGTAAAACAAGAAATGGGATACAGGGCCTCTCAAAAATGAGCTTCATATTCCAACTCAATGAAAACTTGTAATTTATAATCTTTTCAAATGACATAAATATCCCAACCACAATTAGTTTTATCATCCTTTCAAATCAAACAAACAAAAAACTGGATCCACAATTTGTATTACCTGTTAGTTTTTCCATCTACCATAGTCTAAACCCATTAGAATACTTAATCCTTCCAAATAAAGAAGTTTATAAAATCACCTCCATAACAGATAGCTGCCCTTCAGTTTTTCTTCCTTTGACTAAAACAAACTTAATGCTTAAGATTTTCCACTTTGGGCTCTATCAGTACTTAGTGCTATACTCTAGTCCAGTCTTTTTTTTTTTTTCAGTCTTAAGATACAGAAAAAGGAATGTACCCTTCTTGTATTCTTTCAGAGCAGGGCTGAAAGGCAGTATCACCTACCATATTAGGTACTTTCTTTAAGGATTACTCTACTGCATGTATCTCAAGTCCATTTTTTAAAAGTTACACATTAACTCATCATCATTGTGTGTTCCATTAGAATAAGATTTCTCAACCAGGGATTACCAGAAAGCCTCGGGGCATGGGAAGGGAGGCTCATCAACCAAGGCCCCCATGTTCTGAGTCCCAGGATTTTTCTGAAAAGAAAACCATAGCCTTAGCAGACGTGCAAACGGGTCTATGATCCTCCACACCTCCAAAATTTTAAGAATCACCTCACTGTATTCTCTTTAAAAAACTTTAATGTATGAGATTGGTCAGTATAATTCGACATCATTCAGTATCTAATCCTTTTTTCCAAAGTTCTGGCACCTCTACCAAGTTGTAATTTTATAAGCAGAACCAGGCACTTTGATCTACTTTTGTATTTTTAAGATACAATTAAACATATATTTCTAGCACTTAAAGGATTTTAAGTATTGTCAAATATATTTGGATTATATCTTAACCCATAGTACTTTACACAGTTCATGGTTTTAAAGACAAATTAAATCAAATCTGAATTTCTAAACCTAAATATATTGTGATAATGACACTGGCAATTGTTTCAAAATTAATGGAAAGCATGTCATTTTTTTGAAATGAACTTGGCGTAAAAGGCAGCAAAGAGGTCCTTATAAGGAGTGCCTGAATCTGACTTGGTCAACGGTATTCGGCAAAGTTGACGAAACCTAGGAGAGCGCAGCAGCAAGTTCTGTGAAAGGCCCATGAGGCTGGAGCACAACCAGTAGAGCACAATCGACTAGAAAGAGAAGAAAGGACATGAATGTTAGTACTTCTCAACTCTCCAAGGACACTGACGTCCAGAGACGGGTAGGCAGTACAAGAGAAAATGACAACGTGGGGAAGCAACCGTGGACAGGGACTGAACAAGACCTGTGGCAGCTATCTGATACCTGTGACGATTCTACTAGGTAAGAAAGAAGGCTAAAAGGACTAAAAAGTGAAAAGAAAGCCAAGAGGAGAGGTATTCATGACAGCAAGTGGATGACAGAGAGCAGCGCCCAGGCAGAGGCTCAAGAGAGATCTCCCCTCCCCTCTCTGGCAAGTAAGCACCCTTTTTCCCCATCAAGAGGCCTGACAAGCTGCTATACTGGAGGTAGGGTACTGGGGGCACAGCCATTTAGGCTCCCTAGACCCCGTTTTCCTCTACATAGTGATCTATCACCCCAAATTTTCCCAGTAACTGGTTTCTTAGGAATGAATTATCTTTGCCTTTTTCAGAGATGAACAGTCTCAGCATTATCTTCAACTTTCTTTTGTACTTCCATTCAGAGTGATTTATTTAGGTTGACTAAGTTCTATAGCCTTTTGAAATATTCCCACAGTTGGGAGTTGCAAACTTTTCTTTGGCATCAGAATGTGATCAGGCCCCAGAGGCATGAGCCTGTGGTGGTTGAGTCCAGGCCCTGGAGCTGAACTGCCTGAATGTGAATTCCATTTATTTGACTGCAGGGAAGTTATTTTCCTTCTGTTTCAGTCTCCTCATCTATAAAATGGGGACTGAACTACACCTGCCTCAGAAGGCTGCTGTGAGGAAAAAGGGAGATAACTCACACAGACTGGTAAGCACAGTAGGTGGCCTATATTAAGCACTTGGATTTGTTCCAAAGCAAATTTTTCGGGGCAGAAAGTACCACATCCTCAGAGCAGATTAGCATAGTAGTTACGGGCAGGAGCTAAACTGCCTGGATGGGTCTTAGATACTTAAGTGATATTACATGTCGCTTAATGGATGAGTGACCTTGGATAAGCTACTTACCCTCTCTGTGTCTGTTTCCTCATCACTAAAGTGGAGACTGTAATAGCACCTACTTCAGTGCACACTGGATGAATTATATGAGCTAATACATGTAAACCTTTTAAAACAGTGCCTGGCACAAAGTCAATATTGATTATTAGCCATCATCATCATTTGACCTATCCAGTATGAAAAAAGTACTCTGAAACCAACTATGGTAGACTATGAACTGCCTAAAAATAATTCTTCTTCCTTAGTAGTAAAATTCTCATTTTAATCTGGGTATACTGCCATCAGGAAAAAAAAAAAAAAAAAGGACTAATTCCCAGTCTCTTCTGCAACCAAGTGTCGCCCAAATAACTAGGATGTTAGCACAAGTGTTTGGTGTGACATCTGTCAAGGCTCCTTAAAGGGAGCCTTGAAGCACCCTTTTACCATTCCTGCAAGGTAAGTTCCAGCAGCCATCATGACCATACTGTGGCCTTAAGGATAGAAATTACAGGCAGTGGATGGTGGAACATAATGAGAGAAGCAGGCTGCGTTCCTCATGTATCTTCATGGAGCTGCCACATCAGCTCTACACTAAACTGCCTAACTCGGAATTTCCTATATTTGAGAGAATAAACTTGGGTATTTAAGACACTGCTTTTGAGATCTCTGTTATTCACTTTAAACCCAATCCCTCACTGAAAATTCACTGCTCCTATTTCATTTGATCAGGGAGTTTCCTGATAATATATAAACTGGTATTATTTCTCCCCAGAAATGCAGTGAATCTGTACTGTTCTATTTTCACATGAAAAGTACTATAATAAGCACTTGATGCTACTTTATTAGTTCTCACAGACATTATGAGGTCTACTTCAGAAATGTGGAAACTGACTTATTTTACACAGGATTAGTGACAGTATTAGACCAAGAGACAGCTTTAAAAAATACATTTTTGATGCTGAAAATGCACTGTTTCAGATTCCTAAGACAATGAAGTACTTTGATATATGCTAATGAACCCTATCTATCCCCAGTAAATGAATTCTACTTCATGGTCAATGTGTTGGCCCTGAGCAGAGAGAGATAATACCTAAGACAGCTTTTGCCCTCTTTGCACTAAGTATCATTGGGAAATAAGCAAAAGGCTAAAAATGTGAAATAACTGCAAACCTAACTATTTTTTTTCTATTTCTATCAAAGTGTATTGACATATAAATGGGGGCAGGTGTACCTACCTCACTGAATTGCTGAGGTTAAATAATATCACATATGAACCCATATGGACTTGGCACAAAGTTTGTCTATGCAGACAGAAGGAATTCAGTATTTCAACTAATCAAACAGAACAAATACTGTTTAAAGCACTGTGCAAGATTTAAAAAAAAAGAAAGAAAGAAAAAGGAGTTTGAGAGTTAACTCACATTCACACAAAGGAAGATTAACTAATCCCAAAAAATATGAAGTGTCACTTGGTGATATTAATTACTACAGAAACTCGGAAACCAATAAGGGACTTAGCAGTCAAAGGAAGCTCAACAGAAGACACAGAATCCTAGCCAGTCTAAGTACAGAGAGGATTTAGCACATGCTACACACAATGTGGGTGCTTACTCACTGAAGGTATGGTTGCAGCAACTGGAATCATCAACACTGATACCGCACGAACAAAGTATGTAATATATGTCTGAAAACGAGACATTCCAATTTTTTGCAGAGCAAAAATCTGAGAGGGTAGAATAATAAATACACACAATAATTATTGAGCATATTAAATCAGACAAGCTTTAAAATACAATTTGTTTTTGACTGGCCTCCACCTATATTTTAATAGAAGCAAAAAAATTAAAACATTGATAAATGTAGAGTTGACGATCTATGTTTCTGAAAAATTTAATAATTATGCAGAATTATTAAATGGAGCTTTAATCAATAGCAATAAAGGGGATTCAGCTATATTAAAGAGCATAATTTTTACAAGTCAATGTTTTTTAAAGATTGTAAGACTGAAAGTCCTTTCAAGATAGGTGCTATGTATGAATCGTTACCCTTGTTTTGGTACTTAAACACAGTGGCTGGCATAAAGAAGGATTGTAATAGGAATCTCAAAGGTTTGTGATCTGGCTATATGGAATAAGGGGAAGAACCAGGCTAGGAAAAGCAGTTATGACTTATAAATAACTTATTTAAGAGATAGAATAATGAAATGATTTTGAGCACAGACTCCAGATCCAAACTACCTAGATTCACATGGCAGCCCTGCATTTAATAGTTATGTGATTTTGTGTAAGTTACTTAACCTTTCTGTGTCTCGCTTTCTCTACCTTAATATGGGGATAATATTAGTATCTATATCACAGGATTATTCTAAGAATTAAATGAGTTAACTCACATAAATTGTTTAAAATAGTGCCTGGCACATGGTGTATATTGTGTAAGAATAAGTTTTTTTTTAAAAATATTTTATTTATTTACTTGTCAGAGAGAGAGAGAGAGACAGACAGCAAGCACTCACACAAGCAGGGGGAGTGGCAAGCAGAGGGAGAAGCAGACTCCCCACCGAGCAAGGAGCCGGATGCAGGACTCGATCCCTGGACCTTGGGATCATGACCTGAGCCAAAGGCAGATGCTGAACCGACTGAGTCACCCAGGCGTCCCAAGAATAAGTTTTTATTAAACTTACGTATACTGGGTTGTTAGTTGGTAAAAGGAAAGACTAGAAGACTGACATTAATTCACTGTGACCTTGTGTTGATCATTTTCTTCATTCTAACAAATATTCACTAAGTACCAACCACATTCAATGGTGCTAGGTGACCTTAGGGAAACACACTTAAGACTACACATGGAGTCTTTTCTCAAGAAACCCTAACCCAAAACATTAGAGTATCATCTTCATCCTTCTCATTTGAAAAAATAAAGGGTTTGAGGCACCTGGGTGGCTCAGTCAGTTAAGCATCTGCCTTTGGCTCAGGTCGTGATCCCGGAGTCCTGGGATGGAGCCCCACGTCGGGGTCTGCTTCTCCCTCTCACTCTGCCGCTCCCCCTGCTTGTGCGCTCTCTCTCTCTCTCTCTCAAATAAATAAAGAAAATCTTTAAAAAATAAATAAATAAATAAGGGGTGTATTCGATTTCTGAAACAGAGACCAGTGATGGGTCTCTGAGATGAGGTTCTAAGGATCTTTTCTAAGGTTTCTTCTAGTTCAAAGAGTCTATGTTCTACTCAACTGAGAATAGCTCCTTATACAATTAAAGGCTTGCTTCCCCTAAACTGTTGAGTAACACAGCATGGGATAATGGTAAGACACAGTTGACAGATCATGTTTTATATGTATGTGTTTTTCTACTCCATCACATAAAGTACTGACTTTTCTAGGGTCATACAGCTAAAAAAAAAAAAAAAAAAAGTCAGATACTATGTTTCCTACTTGCAAATTTACATTTTAAACATATACACAAAATACCAATCTAATGTGAGAATAAAACCAGACTGATTAACCATTTTAATTACTGTCTTTACCAAAAACAAATCACAAAATTGTGTGTATTAGATTCATATAACTGTAAAGCTGAAAGAGACTTTAGAAGTGTTCTAATTCAGCTCTTCCATTTTAATTATGAGCATTCTGGCCCCCAGAGAGGTTAAGGAACTGGCCTAAGACTTGCCAACAGCTGATCTATGACCAGAAACCAAGGAATCTCAATTATGGCTCAAAGCTAGAATATCACTACCAACTCAAACACATTTATATTTGATGTTGGAACAGCAACAAAAATCCCAATAATTTAAATGGCAAACAAATCTCATTTAAAACCACTGACCTCCACTATTAATAAATTGATGATACCAACGGAGATAGGCAGAATCCAAGTAGAATCCAGTGCAGTGAGGTCAGGAAACCACAGGATTCCATCAGTAGCTAACTGTTCCTGAACAGAAAAACCTGCTAAGACAGTTTTATAAATAAAACATAGCAGAAGGAAACATACAACACATTAGTAGTCTAAATCAAATAAGGTGTCCTTCACACTAAAGACTTGCATTGGTTTTATTCACTTTCAATCCACAACATAAATTAGTCTTCCTGTACTGAGAAAGAAGAAGCTCTCTGTAGCAAACAGATGTAGGAGCATAAAGATACATAGCAGTACTCTTTTCAAACTTATATTTATATAACTATTTGTCCATAGGCTACTTTCTTTCAAGTCTGTTCAGATATTTTCTGGTTGGAAATGCCTTTAAGCAAATGCTTTAGTTTATAGTTTCTTAATAAATGTTTACATTTATAACTGTGAATGCTTTTCTGGTCCCTTAATTTTATAAATGGAAAAAATTCTTGGCCAGGAAACTGAATCATGGAATTGTAACACGAATTTTATTATGACTTACGTGAAGAAGTATAATTGACCGTTAAACAACTCAGGGCTTAAGGGTGCAGACCCTCTGAGCAGTTGAAAATCTGTGTACGGGGCGCATGGCTGGCTCAGTGGTAAAGTGGGTGACTCTTGATCTCAAGGTTGTGAGTCCAAGCCCCACATTGGGTATGAGATTACTTAAAAATAAAATCTTTTTTTTTTTTTAAGATTTTATTTTTTTGACAGAGAGAGACACAGTGAGAGGGAACACAAGCAGGGGGAGTGGGAGAGGGAGAAGCAGGCTTCTGGTAGAGCAGGGAGCCCGATGCGGGGCTTGATCCCAGGACCCTGGGATCATGACCTGAGCTGAAGGGATGCTTAATGACTTAATGAGCCACCCAGGCGCCCCTTAAAAATAAAATCTTAAAAAAAAACCTCTGCATAACTTTTGACTCTCCAAGAACTACAGAAAGCCTATTGTTGTCTGGAAGCCTCATCAACAGCATTTATATGCTGTAAGTATCATATACTGTATTCTTACAAGAAAGCTAAAGAAAAGTAAATGTTATTAAGAAAATCATAATGAGAGGCACCTGGGTGGCTCAGTCGGTTAAGTGTTTGACTCCTGATTTTGGCTCAAGTCATGATCTCAGGGTTGTGAGATCCAGCCCTGGATGGGGCTCATCCAGCCCTGGGTGGGGCTCTGCACTCAGCGGGGAGTCCGCTTGAGATTCTGTCTTTCCCTATCCTTCTGCCCCCCCAAATTAAAAAAAAAATCATAATGAAGAGAAAATACGTTTATAGTGTGGGACTGTAAAAAATATACCTGTAAGTGGACCTGCCCAGTTCAAACCTGTGTTGTTCAAGGGTCAACTGTATTACTGTTGTCCTTCTTACATTCATGTTTTCTCAACACGGCTAGTTTGCTTACACTTAATATTTTAAAATCTATACTCTTGTAAGAAAGATGGTAAAAACATTCTAATTATGAAAAGCATAGGGATTTTTTTTTTTTTTTTGCCTTTTTTTTTTCTTTAGAGTACAAAGACAATGTTAGATAACTTATTTGGGGGAAACAGACTTCTATAATAACTACCTTCTGAATGTGTTGCCCCTGTGCTAAAATTCCGGAGAGCAACAGACATGAAGATCCACATGGGAAACTGAATCCAGACCAAAACAGTGGCTTTGAAAGGGTGGCAGTTATCCCGAACATACAGCTCTGAAACAAGCCTCCGCATATTCTTTAGATAAGTGAGCCTAGTTTGAGGGAAGGGGGGAAAAAGGGAAAGGAGAAAATATCATTTGACTATTAATAGTGCTTCATACCTGTAGCACAAACACACCCATGTTGTGGTTATTAGCTAAAATTTTGTGTCGGATTTTTAGTTGTCATAGATTTTACTAAAGGGTTGCCTTACAAAAGGCAAAAAAGTCTTTTACTGAAAATTCTCTAGCATGTACACAAATTACATAGCAATTTGATAAATCTGACATTATCAAACTACGAGCTTTGGCTCTGGTGGTCTTTGGCTAATTAGGTTTTAAAAAGCGAAATTTTACTACTGGCATGGTATAACTACAGTTTGTATCAAAAATTCTAGAGGTGAAAGCACATTTAACTCAAATCCCTCCATTCCAGCCAAGCTCAATTACTTGATCCCTGAATATACTTTTTGTAGCAATGTGGTTTTGTAATATGTATGCTCTTGACCTATCAAAATGGTTTACATCCTTCAGCCAACTCTTTTATGAAGATTTTCTTAATCTGCTTCTCTGTTAACCTTATTCGTTATTCCCGTTCTCGTCTTAAGTCCCACTTTCCATAGGCCCCTTGAAGATCAAGTTTGGATCTTACTCATCTTTAAATCTCCTGTAGCATGTCTTTTACAATGTAGACATCCAAGGGACTTGAAGCCAATAGAATTATAGTGTATTATTGCACTAAGACAGTACACAGACATTCCAGGCTTTATAATTTAGAGTCTGCCTACTCTTCCAACTTTATCTCTTGTTACTCTTCTACAGACACCTGTATATTTGGTGCCTACACGCACAGGCTACCCAATAAATCAGACTTCTACATCAGCATGCTTTTGGAAGTCATAAAGTCCAGCTTTGCGCAGTGGCAGTATCGTAGCCAATGAGGTTTATCCGAGGCGCGATTGTTGCTAATTGGAAGTCATTAAGTCATCTGTGTGGACAGTCCACTTACCTGGCTGTCCACCTGACAAACTCTCTTTAACCCTACAAGACTCAGTTCCATTGAAAATCCAAGAAACTCTTAGATGTGTCTTCCTAGAAAGTCATCTATCTGTGCAAGGATGTGTCTGGACAATCATCCTGCCAATGCTGCATAAACAAGGTACCAGTCGTGTCTGGGCTGCATTTATAATTCAGATGAGCAGCTTACTAATCTGTTCTTTTGGCCTGGAGCTGTCACTCTTAGATTTCTCTGATCAGTAAAACTTCAAAACTGTTAAGTTTGTCAACTTTTATTTTATTAAGTAAAGATATTAAGCTACCATAATGATTTTTTAAAATGTCAGATCTTTTTAACATTAAAGAGAAAAGCAATTTCATATTGAAGAGAGTTGGCACATTTATACACATATAGGTAAAAATATACAATAACTACATATACATTATATATACATAATATAAAGCCCTTATTTTTCTCATTGCTGTGAACCGGTGAACACTTAATCACAGCCTGGTAAGGATTATAATTTGACTAAGTACTAACTTAGGCTGATTGAAGCAGGAGGACTTAGACGTTCCCAATGGATGACTACAGACACAGAACTGCAGCATGCATGGTCAAGCACCTTCTAAGGGCTTTCGAAGAGCCCAGACAGACAACTACACAGGGTAACCACAGTGGACAGACAGCACCTTGGCTATCTACTTTCTTCTACCAGAGCATTCACATTTTCTACCTCCCCTTTCTTATGGGCTGCTGTACCCTTCTTTCCAAAATGGTCAAGTGTGTAAATAATCTGTATCATTTACTGACTAAAATCCCAACAGAGTGGCACAGTATCTTCATCCATGAAGCCTTCCCTGACTTTCCACTATGACTGAACTCCTTGTACATAACCTTTTTTATAGTACTTAATTTAGTCATTATTTGATTACAGGTCTTTTTTCAGGAGGCTGGAGTCCCTCAAGAAGGAACTTGCTCTGTTTCTCCATTTCTTGCTTTCACTATACAAAAACTCGTACCACACAAACTTATTAAAATATTAAGGAGTGGAAGGACTACTTTGCTGCTAAAGCTATAGAACACCCAAACCTATAATTAATATAATCACTTTTGCAGTATATATTCATTCATATATATATATATATATATATATATATATAGTCTATATTCATAGAATTAGCTTACCTGGCAACTCTTTTGGACCATCTCAACTGATTTGCACGAACTGCAACTTCTTGGTTAAGATGCCTTGCAATGTTTTTTATTTCTGGCTGTAAATTTTCCACCTAGCTAAAGAAAAAGTAGAATTTGTTACGAGCACATAAAGGATCTTTATTCATAACCACTCATAATTTTACCCTCTACTCTTCTAACTCACTGAAAAATGTGGTTTACTGATCATCTCAAAAAAATTTAAGTCTAAGGATAAGGTGTTAAATTTGCTTAAGATATCTTCAGTTACAACCAAATTCGAATTCCAGCTTATACTCTTAGCTATGTGATCCTGGGCAAGTTACTTAAGTTCTAAAACCCTGTTCCCTCATATATAAAATGTTTAATAGCACCTACTTCACAGAATTCTTATAAGGATTAAATAAGAACTGAACCCTATACTTTAGTGTTTCATCCTTGGACTTCTGAGTAATGGTAACTGAAAAAACAGAAGTCTATTATTAATTAAGTTTTTAATATGCTCTGTGACAGCCACAGAGTCACAAAAAGTTTGCATTTATTTCTGCTCTGTGGGAATTCTTTCTGTAAAGTACCTCACTGGCTTAATGGTGCTGATGATTCCCTTTGTTTCTGGGTCCCGCATCCCCTATAATAATCTGAAAACATGGAAACCATTATTTTTGAAGTCTCACATTTGAATAATATTTTAACCCATATTATCTGATTTGATCTCTTAACATTGTGAAGTAGGCCTGGACGGTATTACTATACCGATTCCACAGAAGATATAGAAGCACTGAAGTCCAAGTGGCTGCGACTTTCCAGAGTTGTAGGTGGTACAGCCTGAATAAGGAAATCAAGTTTGCAAATGGCTAGCTCAGCAGTTTTTTTCTAGTAAGAAAGATGAACTGGAATACTTGGGGACAAAAGATGCTGCAGACGTACAGACTGTTACAGTCTTTAAGACAGCAATTTTACAGGTTTCTCCATACAACAACTCTGCTACCGCTTCCTTTATTTCTCTCATTCTCTAACAGCAAGCTTAGTAACCACTTGGGCTTTGAGCACAAACCCAGTAGGGTAAACGAAATGACAAGTACATGTGTCACCAAACATCTCTTAATTCACATATCCAGTGCTAGTTAAATTTCTTAGCAAGAAAGTGGTCACGATGATTTACACTAAGCACTCCAGAAGCACCCGGCGATTTTAGCCCCCGGTAGACGTCTACCACACCTCACCGCCAAAGCGGATGCGCAGGGTGCTGGTGCCCCTCACCTTGGCCAGAATGTAGTGTTGGTAGGCGGCCAGGGGTAGCGTGACGGCGCCGCGGAGGGCCACGGTGGTGAGACCGATGCAGGCCCACCAGGGCAGACCTGTGGCGGTGTGCACGCCGAGTAGTACCTCCTCCGTGCCATGCACCGGCGCCGACGTGGCCAGGGCCTCGTACCAGCTGCCAGGGCCGCCGGAGCCAACTGCAGAGACTGACGCCACCGCCCACACCGGCAGAGCAGAGTGCTTAACGCCGCCCGTTGAGGTTGGCGCAAGCGGCCGGTCCCGGGCCCTATGCTGCAGTACAGGCAGCGGCCTCAGCCACCTACCGCCCAGCCGGCACAGCATGTCTGCGCCAGGGCTGAGCCAAACCACGGACCTCACAGATTACTGTCGGGCTCCGCTCTGCCAGGGAAGCCACGCGCACGCGCCCGTAACCCCAGGCGAAAAATCGGCGCGCGCCTTCCCTCAGGCACTATTGACCTTCCCAGTCAAGGCAGTGATGTCTGGCGTCGCACTGGCGATGACGCAGTTGGTAGGCGAGTCCCGCCTTTCCCACGCGGCACTGGGCAGGCCTACAGCGCAGACACAAAACTTCCCCGCTGCGGGCCTGGAGCTCCTCAGAGGCCGGGCCAGAATTGCAGAGCTAGGGGCGGGACTTGCTGCCTCGCACCCGACTGGGCGGTCTCTAGAAGCTCTCGCCTTTTTAAGTCGGTCTTAAGCGTGTGCCTTTGCGTTCCTCTACTTCAAACTAGTCGTTTGATTTGTAGTGGATTAAACTGGGTAGGTGGTTTTTGTGACCAGAAGGTAGTCCCCCACCTCTTTACGTGCAATCGGAATGCTTCTGCTGGAGACTGAAATGGATTACACTGCCAAAGAATCAACACGTTGCTGAACTGCCAGGTTGGAGAAAGGCATGCGTTTCTGGCTGACCGGAGTTTTAATGAGCATCCATTATGCAGTAGGCATAGTTCAATCTGTGGTATAAAGATTTAATTGGCTCATCTGTTCAGTTAACATTTTTAAACCCAACTGCAAACTGAGTGTCCTTCAGTGTTTCATCTTCCAATATAAAGAGCAAAACTCCAGGGTACTATACCGTCTTCTTACTTGAGGCGTTATCACTGGTAGGGAGGTCAATTCTTCACTAGAGATTACATGTATCCTATATAAAGGTTCAAGAGCCTGAACAGTAACATTAAGCGTCTTCGGCTTAAAAAGAATACGCCAAATCTATACGGACTAGTTTTGACTTCTGTGTTCCTGGCAACAGTATACAAACTGGAATGGAGTGAAGGAGTTTAATTACGTAAGGGTCAGCCCTAAACCTAGAGCCTAAATTGTGTTGTGCGGAATAAAATGCTGGTTAAAACAAGCCTCCGGCAAATGTTGGGATAATGCTAAATTGCAGCTATGGTTCTTGTTTCATTACGCACCTACACGAATTTTGAAATGTGTTCAAACACACAAATCCCAATTTACGCTATACACAGCTGTTCCTTTTTAAAAGAAAAAACGTACAAATCTATCTCCCTATGCATTTAAGTTAAAAAAAAAGCAACCAGGGCGCCTGTGTGGCTCACAGCGGATCCGGTGGAGGTCCTGGGATGGAGCCCCCGCTTAGGCTCCGTGCTCAGTGGGGAGTCTGCTTGAGGATTCTCTTTCCTTCTCCCTTTGCTCCTCCCCCAACTCACATTCTCTCTTTCAAATAAATGAATAAATCTTTAAAAAATATTTTAAAAAAGCAAAAAACAAAAGCAAACGGTAGCTAGTGACTACTTCGAAGTGGAAACAAATTTTAAATGGAAATACCTTTGCCTACAGATTTGTGGGAGTAAAGAAGCAAATTCTATGCTACTGCGTTTCTCTCCTTTCGGAGAACTGATGTCATTGGAAATTGGTCCTTCCACAGTAGCCGTTAAGCCTAGGGACTCCGACCTTTTAATACCCAGGAGAAAGGGAGTTGATTAGGTCACCTTTTCTGGAGTCACATACTATATTCTCATTTTAGAGTGTTTCATTGCTTTAAGTTTCAATATTGTGATCTAAAAAAATTTATGAATATTTAACTTCTGCTAATTTCATATGTATTAACATACATTTCTAAATTCATATAATAGGGATGATCAGAACATCTCTACTTGGTAAAGAATGCTGGGGTAAGTATTTGTTATAAAACAATACAAAAGGAGAGTGTTAGCACTAATGTGTATGTACTGGTTATCCAAAATTGTGGTAACACCTCTTTTGAATTGCAGAGTACGGTATGAAATGACCATACAAACACTGAACAAACCAACTTATTATCTTGTCAAGTCTAACACTGCAAATGAACTTGTGCAGCACACTAGAACCTTTTTTTAAAGTTCAACATTTGTAATTAGCCTATTCTTGTCTTTACTATGTCACACAACTAATTTTTTTTAACTTTAAGCTCCTTGAAAATAGAGACTGTTTCATTTTCTTTCTGCAGTTTCTGAATCAGTGCTTAACAGAGTGGGCTCAAAAATTCAAAATTTGAATACAGGCTATTTACACATATAAACTGTGTAAACGTACATTTAAATTTTTCATTTCCCAAATATGCCCTCTGAAATGTTTGATAAAAGAACTTTTAAAAGATAAATAATTTTCATGAGCAATTGTTAAAGTGACCTCTTGGAATTAGATTTAGGTTGAATTTCTTTTTCTTTCCTACTTATTTAATGCATTGCTTTTTAAAACCAAAGTTAATGTAAAATTAGCCTTTCATCTCTATTGAAAAACATCCTCTCATCTTTATCATGGTTCTTACTTAGCATGCAAAATTGACTTTTACCTTTCAAAAGTGTGAATGCATTTAAAGATAGAAGTCTACTATGAAACCTCCTAGTCATGTATTCCAACTGTCCTATCACAAAGGAATTCTTATTTATGTATGTCAAGCCATAGTTGCACACTTTTCATTTACCCAAAATACAAGTGATAGTATTTTTGCAATCAAGGTATGTAACATAGTAAGTCATATTAAGCACTAATGAAGCTCTCATTCTAAATTCATCACCTGGCATTAGCACCAGTTAACTGAGTGTTGCGACTTGAAGCAAGCATTTATCAGTGGGATGTACACAGGTTTCTCCGCTATCTCAAAGTAGAGCTTTCCTACCAAATCTTTCATAGGCCCAAATAGTGGAAAGCAGAGTTATCCCCTCTTTCCAAAAGTTTGCATTATACTACTTGGCATTAAGGAAGTTCTGTAATGCCAGATCTGCAGGAATGAGAGTGTTGCTAAAAAGCTCAAAATGAAAAACAGATGAAATAAAACAGGGGCTCTGAAGAGCTTCTGTGATTTTGAGTTTCCCTCTTTAGTCTATCACTTTGTATAAAGTGAATAAAATAGTGTGCAAAATAATTTTTATGAAATGTGTATTTAGGTCATTTGAGTCAAGAGAAAGATGGAATAATATTTTCATGAACAAGACAGGATCTGGAAGTAAATTATCCCCCCCTCCATTTTTTTCCTGAGAAAAAAATGACAGTAAGTATAGTAATTTAACAAAAAGTTAATTTTCAACTACCAATAAAATGACTTATTTTTACAGTAATAAACAGAAGGGAAAAATATCTTTCACATGAATACTACAATCAATTTTTGTGAATATGTTGATACATGTTGAAAACTCATGAAATGGGGGTTCTGTTGGCTCTGGTAAATAAAATCATCTCTAAAATGAAATGATTGGTATAAAAAGATTACACAATTGGGATATTAATTATTTTGCTATTTAAGGTGTGAGCTAAGCCAAATATTATTTCCAAGAGTTAAGTCACTTCTTAAAAGAATGAAAGAAAGGTGTGCCTAGGTGGCTCAGTCGGGTGTCAGGCTCAGGTCATGATCTCAGGGTTGTGAGATCAAACCCCGCGTTGGGCTCCATGCTGGGAGTGGAGCCTGCTTAAGATTCTCTTCCTATTCCTTTGCCAACCACTCCCCCAACCCCCAGGTCGTGGGCACACTGTCTCTTTAAAAAAAAAAAAAATGAATGAAAGAAATACATTATGTAGTCTGTAATTACACATACCATATACTTTCAAAAGGGGGAAAGACCTGCATGGTCTCAAAAGATTATGGTTTTTTTTTAATCTTTCAAATAAAAATGCACTGTTGTTGTATATCTGAAATATAAAAAATGTGTTTGAAAAATGTTCCTAATACAGACTTCTAAAATCATGGTATTGTACTCAATAAGACGGAGCTCCAAAACTAAATATGGAGCATGCAATCTATATTCCCCAGTCCCATAGGTTTAAAGTCAAGAAAATACAGGTTATTTCTTATTAAGACACCTCCATCTTAACAAATTCAGTTTTGTGAATCAACACAACTCATGTGTTGTAATAAATACTGGGTGGTATCTATTATCTAGCAGGATTATTTTAATTATAATTAACTCAGAAAAAAAATTAAACAAGAAATTATAGGATAGTGGCAAAAGTCATATATAAAATACTCTGTTAAACAGCATTACACACCTTTCTTAGTAAAGTGCTATAATTTTATTTCAGAGGTATGTTTGCAGGATATCATTTAGCTTTTGCCCTAACTTTGGTCATATCGATCATAGGTAGCAAAACAAATTTATATATTTTAAGACCACCTCCTAAATTAAAATATATATATGTGTTGTTTATAAACTTCTAGATATGTTTGAGAAGTCTTTTTACTCTTTATTCAGGCTATCAGAGTAAAGAAATCATTTCATTTACTTCACAGCCAAGGAACCATATTAATATTGTCAACTCTGGGCGATTTATCTGAATTTGAGTTTCACTACTGTGGAATTTTTTTAATTAAAAAAAAGGGCAGATTGATGCATTCATTACTTCACTTTTATGCTTACTTTCTTTTTTATTTCAACCATATAATTTATTTTTCCATATGAGACAGGGTAGGACACATATTCTTCTTGGATATGTTATTGTTTATTGTTTCAAGTGAATGGAATAGATAAATCTCACTGAGTAGTTTAGTGTGACCCTGTATCTTATATAAACAGGTTAAATGAAGACGTTATTTTGTATTCTGTATATTCATGTATACCATAAATTGTCTTAATGACAAATGCAAAATTTCCTTTATTACTTGCCCCAAGTTAGCTGTTGATCCCTTTCACTGATAATATACAAGTGTAGAGAATAAGGAGCCTTTAAAATTAGGGGGGAAAAAAGATACTTTCCACTAAATTACTGAAAATTGGAATTTTTATGTTGACTCTTGATGACTGGAAAGCCAATGTTAAGAATCAATATATCCAATATAAAATAGTACATTGAATTATTTAATAATAAACAGTATAGTAAGAGCTTGTATATGTTGACTGGGAACCAGTGGTGGCTTTTTAAATTCTCAGAAAGACTAAACATCTTATGGTTAGAAGAACCACAGGTGATGATTAAGGTGCTCCGCTTCTCTGTAGCAGCCATTACAATAAAAATCTTTATAAGACATTATTTCACGATCAGCAAGAGAATTTTACTGTTATTAGCGGTAAAGGTGAGAAGAGAAGAATGAAGACAGAAGTGTGTATTAGTTTTAAAAGTGTGGCAAGGTAATAAAAAGACATGGAGAGGTGATAAAGTTCTTCTATATGTGCCCTGCTGCAAACAAACTCAAAAAAGAGAGCAAGATGGGTATTTTAAAAGCCAACATCAGGAAACATCACTGATAATGCCCATTGTTTTACTTTATACTTAAATTACACAAGCAGAAAAGTTATGCTTATTAATAGTTTAATGTATGAAGGAAACATCCAGATTTCTGAATATGAAGGTACATATCTCACATTAATTTAAGTCTACATAAAGTAGAGCCTCTATACTGACATATTGAAATTTACTTTCTGCTTAGCCTTTTCCGTTATGTAAACAATTGTACATTTATTTGCCATTCTAAAACTTCAGGATCAAGTTTACATAATTTTGCTAAATTTCCGTGTTTGCTCAGAAGCAGTTTACAGTACTAAAACCAACCAGCCAAAGAACAGCTTCAACAGAAAGTTATGTCCAAAGGGGAAGAGGAAAAGAAAAAAAGAAAAACGATAAGAAAAATGCTAACTAAGGTAGAACGGATGTTGGTGGGGAATGGGCAGTCACAAATGTTCACAGAAAATAGGTCAGTTAGTAACTTCTTCTGCAAAAAGCCTACACACTTCAGTCAAGCACATCAGTAGAATGATTTGGGAGCATAAATTTTTTTCGGCCACTTGTGATCTCCTCTGAATGAAAAGGAATCTGCAGGCTAACAAGCTGATCCTCATCAGCCAAGCTGGTTCATATGCACACTGTTCATGTGAGGTGCCCAGGGTCCAGTCCACACCTATGAATGTAGAGCATGCATTTTATTAAGTATTACATATTTAACACATATTTGATTAAAACAAAACTCTTAAAAACTAAGGAAGTGCTCTTAATATCTATGAGCTAAAATAGCTAAATCTCATTCAATTTGCAACATACTTGGAAACAATGAAGAAAAACAACGATAAGCCACTTTTATTTGTTGTTTTCCTGCCTCTCCTCTTATTTCTCAAACAGGATCTGATTTATTGTCATTTTTTAAAAACCATTACCTGAATGCATACAGACTGATTGATTAAAGAAAGAAAATGAGTCAAAGATATTCAGCATACACCAACATAAGCTAAAATATACTAATCACTAATCATTTCTGTGAATTTTTGGAGTTTTAATTATACACTGTTCTGACATTTATAATACGTATAATAATAAATAACCTCTAGATGGTCCTTTTCATACCACTAGTAAATTCTGATGTATAAAGTTACAACACTTTGTAATTTAAAATCTTTTACTTACCATCTGCTACCCAATGAAATATATTATGCCTTTTATAATTTTTGCTCCAATCACTACCTTTGGTACCATTTTCCATATCCTCCTGCTGTATTAAATTTCCTTCAACTTTCTCAATTACCCGTATTCACCATACTCCCTCACTACCATGATTTACCTGTATCCTATTTGTTTTGGCATCTCATAAACACTAAAGAAATGTTCCCTGAATGATCAGCCTTACCGTTTGAGGGCCATTATTTTCTGTGGAGCTTGAAACCATCTTTATTAGGGAGTTCCAAGAGGGGTCTGCAGCATGAGGGCCATTAAATATGGGTCCTCCAGCACCATCAGGAATAGGTGCTACTGGAGGAATCATTGCATTCCCATACACAGAGAAAGGCATACCCTTAAAAAAGGAGAAGAAAAAAAATTATGCACACAGTCATATCTTCAAGTCACTGCTTACTTTTCCCAATATAATCCATAGCCTTAAAAATGAAACTTCATCTTATTTTGAAAAAGTATGTTATCTAGGTAATCTAAAAATTATTTTCCATTATATGATTTCTTCTAGCATTAGACTATATGTAAGCCTACTACAGCCAAAATATTTGGTCAAAAAACATTTCTCTAGCCAGATTTTCACCTATAATTACAAGCTGAAGCCCGTGCATTATTTCACACTTACCCACTTGGAAGTAAAATGAAGCTAATAATAAGAAAAACATTTAGAAATATGAAAGTGCTTATTTAAGTCACCATTACCCCAACTTTAGGAAAGTCCATGTATCCTGCAGGAACATGCTGATGGAATGTACCAGAAGGAGTTACAATTCCTGTACTCTCTCGCTCCATTGCTTGATGCTGTGAAAACACTCCTGGATCGGACATTGGTCTATGAATCATAGGATTTCCCATCCCAGGGTTACACCAGTCTACTTTGTCTGAGGGAAAACAAAATGGCAGAAAAAGATAGCTGGTGATCTTTAAAACCAGAAGACAGTAAAATAAAATATTTAATATATTTCTATCTAGAATTTTCTACATTGAATTGTGCATTCCTTCGGAATAATGACCTACTTTTATATATTTACTGCAGTATTTCCATGTGTGTAGGTAGTGATATAATAGCCTAATAAAATAACCTAAACACTTTGTGTTACAAAAGAAAAAAAGCCAAGGTGAGATAAAACTGATTAGTGAAAACCAAGAGATATGAATATAGATCTTTTAAGAATGACTGTTAAATATTACTTACAATATTTTAGTTAAATGCATAAATTTAAACTTAATTTCTGGTAGGTAGAATAGCATGTCTTACCTTGATTGCCACCAATCCCTTCAAAGGACCAGATGCCACTATGCCCTACTGATGTGGATAAATTACTCCCAATAACAGATGGAGCTGAAGTTCCAGTTTGCCTGATACGTGCAGAACGTTCAGTCCCAATAGGGACTGGAACTTTTCTGTCCTGAGAGACATTGCTGGGCTTTTCTGACCCTAAAGGTACTGATGATGGGGCAGGCGAAGGTGCACGAACTCCAGAGGATACTGACTGTGCAGGAGAATCTAGAGAAAAAATATTTTGAAATAGTATAAATGTCATCTACAGAGGGTGTAATTTTGTAAAACCAAATCTTACATTCTGAAGACACCTTATATATGTGTTCTCTGAGGAAAAATGAAATATGAGAATAATGCTTAAAAATTATGCATATTAAATAATTTGGTTAAGTTCTATGATTTTGCAGTCATTTTTTAATTTGATTCACAATTTTTCCATTTAGTTATGTGATAGCAGACTGTGAAGATGTCCAACTACAAAGGTAATATAACCCATTAAGCTAATTAATATTTAAATAAATGCTTGACACTGAGTAAAATAAGCACCACAACAATGAGAAGACAATGTTTAAATTAAAAAGGCTAAACAACAACAAAATAGAGGTGGGGAAAATCATGCCTGTATTGGCAATTTCCAAACAACTGAAGTGTTTCCTTGAGAACACAAGTCTCTTGGTATACTATGACGAAAACAAAGGGATTCAGGGAGCCAACAAATTTGGAAAATCTAACTTGAGAAAAAAAGTAAGTTTCTTTAAATCAGAACTTTACAGAAACTTAGTATGCTAATAAAATACCAACAGAGGGCTATGCCTCACTGCCCAACTTGTTTTATTGTATCATGTATCACATGGGTATTCCACAGAACAAGCTTTTCAAAATGACAATTTAAGCTTTACGTATCAAAACAAGGCGGGTTCTTAATATTTGGGAGTATACTTTAGTGATTCAATTTCTTCATGCACTAGAGAGAGAGGAAAAAACAAGAACAACCCAAACTGTATTTCCCATTTGAAGTTTAAATATCAAGCACATTTAAATTTAAATAGGGTGTAAATGGTGGAGCCTGAAGCTTAAAAGTCAAAAGGGTCACCTGCTTATCAACAATTTACTCATAACTGCCTGACTGTATGCCCTAGAAGCCCTAGGGATAGTCACTTAATAATACTTTTCCATTTAACCATCTTTTCTCATTTAAGTTTTCTCTCTTTCTCTCTCTGTGTGTATGTGTATATTCCTCCAAAGGGATTCAGGTAGCTAATAAATTTGCAGAATCAATCAACCTATCTATCTACACACACATACACAAAAGCATAGTGCCTCTACTTCCCAAGGTACTTTTCAGGGAATGTGAAAGACAAAGAAAAATTCAGTAATAGTATTAGTCTGAATATGCTTAAAAAAAGATTTGCCATGTATATTTTAGAATTGTATAGATTTGGAAAGTACTGCGGAGATAAATTTCATCTTACTAGTGCTTGCAGAAGTCCATTTTGGCTAAACTGATAGTACCACCTCTCTCAATGAATCGTAGTAATATTATTAACTAAAAAAAAGAATATGAAAGTATAAATTATAATTCATTATAAGGATATAGATTTTATTGGAGAACAAAAACATGAAACTTACGAGCTTATCTGCATAAGTAAACCAAGAGAACTGTTAGTCTCTAATGAAAAATTAAAATATATCTTCTGTGGTCGTGGATCCATTAGCATTTCTTGACAGTATTACTTTTAATAAATCATAAGAAAACAGAAAAGCCATATATGTGTCTTTGAAGTAATTATACATATTTCTAAATTCACCTTAAAACTGCACTGGTATAAGAAGGAATTCTAAGATGGAGGTGTAGCAGCACAAGTTTTGATTCTTCCCAAACCTTTCCATAAAAACAAGCTACCAAGTTAGCAAAGCCAAACACCCCTGGATAACATCTATAACAAAACTAACAAAATATCCAAATGAATCAAAAGATACAGGTGAATGGGGACAAATCACCAAAAGCTGTAAGACCTCTGTGGTATCAGCATCTGAGTGGAAAGAAGCAATTCTCCAGACCTAATAACAGAATAGGAGAACAAAACAGTCAAAGGTACTACTCAAAGGAAAGCAAAGAGAAGGCCAATCTGAGAAGAGCGGGTAAAACTGGGAGAGTTCTGCCTATGCATGGGTAATTGCAAGGGATTTACACAAAGGTCTGAAGCAGCTGGAGCAATAGTGACCCTTTGAACTCTCAAAAATACTGCTGAAATATCCATGATAAAGCCTCACACTGCTAAGAAACTTCTGGGAACGGATTCCAAGTTGAGCAGGAAAGGGACAATAGATGCAAAGCAAACACAAGATCCAGTCAAGAGTGGGGCAAAAGTGGGAGTGGTGGGAGGGTAAGGATAACAAAGCCAGATTTAATAAAGTATTAAGGCCATATTTTTGCATACTTGCCTAAAAGATGAAATTCTAGAGCCTTTAAGCTAGAGAAGATAACTGATCCACTTATCCTTTCTAAAAGTTCAGGAAAACTCATTTAATTTAAAATGTAAAACAGAATAGAAATGCAGTCAAATTCCATACAAAGCTATTATATGAACTAAGAGATATGGACCCAGAATATCTTACAGATAATAAAAGCATGCCAAAAAGAAAGCTGTATTCTAATATTCCAAAGGTGTATCAGAAAGAAAGCTATACTCTAAAATTCCAATGTGAGCTAAAAGAAATGAAAGAAAAACATAGGCAAGAACAGCATAATTCAGAATTAGTAAAACTGGAAACAATGATGAAACTCAGGAAAATAGGAGAAATGAAAGAATATTCCAGAAGGTGTAAACACAAGGGATAAAGAAAGTTGTGGGTTTTGTTTTTTAAACTATGGTATTGAAAGGACACAATTACACACCTGAGAAGGATCAACCCGGAATAAGTAATGCCAAGACAAAGTCAAAGGTGACAAGCAGGCAAGGACTGATGGATAGGTCAGACAAATGAATTCTACCTCTCCCACACTCATCCCTGGAAACCTGCCCTATTGTCAATGTTAGATCTAGTTTCTCTTTCCTTTCCCGAATCCTTCCAAAAACAAAAGCCAAGCAAAACACCCTCCATATTCCGTTTAAATGAATGGAGTAACTAGGCCTGTCTGCTGACCAGCCCCACTAAAGAGATTTGCCCTCTTCACAGATTCTGCCATCTCACTAGCCATATTTTTATCAGATGACTGTTTTCTGCTTCCTCCCTGCAAGCTTACTGGACTAATGACAGGTGTCTGACTGAAGAATGATCCATTTCAGGCTAGCAGTAATCTATGACTGACATGGCCTGACTTGAACGTAGGAGCTAAGCAAATCATATTCCTCATTCAGAAAGGTACAATTGATAAACAAAGAAAAACTGGTTTAACTAATTACGAATTGAATCTTTGAGGACCATATACAAGATGAGATTATGAAGAAGGCTAAACGCAGAGGAGACTCACAAGACACAGACCACGAGTCTGTCATAAATCCTCTAAAGAGAGAGATGGAGGGAATAGCTGGATGGCTCTGAAGATGGCCCTGGATCAAATCCTGCATGGTTCTGCAGACAGTCCTGTATAGCTTTAAAAGTCAATACCATTTTCCTTGAGTTTCCTTTGGTGGGTCTATGTTCCTTGTCATGAAAAGTGCTAAATTATTATAATTTCTTTTCTCATCTCTAATTATATAATTAGAAAAAAAAAGCAAACAGATTACCTAAAAAGAGCTGAAAGTCTGACAAAACAAACTAAATGGTCATTAAAAAGTAACAGTATTAAGATTTATATTAAGTGGGGAAAATGCAGACTAGTTAAAAATTCAGTATTAGAAGTAAAAGTGAGATGATGATTAACATAATAAAATAAAAAAAATTATTTGTAAAACAAAAACAACAAAAAAAGTAAAAGGGAGAGTCTTGCCTAAATCAATCCTTTAATGATTACAAAACAATGACTCTAATTACAATTCCTTCTACATGTATGAGTTGTCCCTATACTGTAAGGAAGAGAGTTCCCTTCCCTTCTAAAATTTTAAATTCTTAAAAAAATAAAAATTTAATCATTATGGACTTATGGATTCTTAGATTTTATCCAGTGTGCTGCCATTATTCACTTTGGTGGTCAGATTTTCCTGAATTTGGCCAGTGGGAGTCTCTTTAAAGCTGCTTTGTGTTTCCTGACATGTCCCCATCATTTTGAGCACTTAATTACTCTCTGACACCGTAAGACTTTGCAAGTTCCCAATACGCCCCAGCTCTCAAATCAGCTATTTCCTCAAGAAAGCCTATTTCTTTCAGTGGACAAAAATATTTAACAGATGGATCTGGACACTGGATATGCTCACTCCTGATGAAAATTAATTGCTTCTAGGCCCTTTCAGTAGATAGAGCTGGTGGGAAAATAGCAATTTCGTATGATTTACTCCAATATACAGGTAATGAAAAATCCTGAGTTCACACTAATCCTCTAATTCTAATCCAATTCCATAGGGTTCTTCTTTGCCTTACCCCATTTCACATCTCCTCTTCTCACAGTGAGGACCATGGATTACATCATTAAAATATACTTACTTGCTCAATCCTACAATAAACCCCATAATTTTAGAATTGCTTATCCATAACATTATAAAAATCCAATGTCCTAAGTAGAACTGAAGATTTGTTTGAAATCTATTTTTCTTTAGACTGAGAGTATATAAAGTACTATGGTTTAAGAGTTTTATTGGATTTCTTCTAGTAGGTTTATGTTAATAACTTGAAACACAAATAAGTTTATTTCCATTTATGCTCAATTTTTCCCTTCATCAAACTTGATTTTCTTTTTGAAATTTATAAACATTAACCTGGTTACAAAAGCAAAACTATTATTTTTACTCAGACAAGTGCTACTTCTTCCCCCGATTCCCTTACACTCTGTGTCTCAAAGTCTGATGAGGAATAAGAACACAGTGTCAGAGAAACTCTCCACAGATTACTTATTAATTACAAAGAGAAAAATGATAATTTGAAGTACAGAAACCTGGCATACATGATCATAAGCAAATGATCAAAGTTAATAGCACCAATAATGGTACAACCTAACATATTATGCAATATCATGTACTGAAAGAAGGATACAACATTGACTATATAGTAATATTCCTGTCAAAAACAAATAACCATGGGCGCCTGCGTGGCTCAGTTGGTTAAGCGACTGCCTTCGGCTCAGGTCA